TATATATATATATATATATATATATATATATATATATATATATATTCTAATATATATGATAAAATTTTAAAAAATATCAAGTTTTTATTTTTTTTCCCCATAAAACATCTATACCGCGTTCCTTATTTTCTAAAAGATAATATCACCCTTGATCTTCACCCCATCGATTGTCGCATCTATTTTATCATGATTACTTTCACCCATAGTCACTTGTCACTTTTGCATGGCCACCCCATATTGAAGGAGCATGTTTAGCTCGTTTTTGCCCCCACTTTCACCTCTCGTAGCTTCTTAATCAAGGGAGGAACGAATGAGGCTGAGGGTAGTGAGATAGAGGTGCAAGTAATGATCGACGAGGCAAAGTTCAAAGGTAACTCACTTTTTTAAAAATAAAATGTGTCGGGGAATAAAGCAAAAAGGGATGCTCTACCAGGAAAAAAGTAAAAACTTAAAACTTTTTTTTGGGATAATTTACCCATACGTATATATATAATTAATATTACTATAATCTAAAGACTTATTGTTAATATATACAAAGTCACCCTTCAATCACTTACTAGACTAGGAAAGTATCAATAAATTTAAATTTTATGATTGCACTTATTGACTTCAACATTGATAAATATATTTAGTCTCACAAGAATATCAGAAGTAAGGCTTTAGAAGAATCAGAGTCATCTCTGCAAGTTCTTGAACATTATTTTTTTCTCTCTCCATCTCATATCTTTCAGAAAATACATGGTGATACATCATCATTTGTCTTGATTAATGTGAATATGAGGATGCACAAGGAATTATCTACTTTGTGTGGGCCCACAAAACGGGACATCCAGGGTAGAAGTGACTTTGATGCTTATAAGAGCTTAGTTGTTAATATGTGTCCTAGTGCCCTCGATAGTTGAAGTAAGGTTTTTTTGAGCCCCCTACTTAGTTCACTACCAGATAAATCATCATTTTTTTGAGTACTCATAATGAATTATCCATGTTGGATGGACCTCACGCAATTTTGCTGATTTCCCTTAAATGTGACTTTGGCACTTATAAAACCTTTGTTGAAAAAGAAGGTTTAAAACTCAAAAGGATTAGAACATCAGAGTTCGCGAGTGATCAGATCAGGAAGGGAACAAACGGTTGAGCGTTCTCCTCACCATCGAATGCTTCATTTGCTTGGTGGTTCGATTGGACAAATAGCATAACCATGATAGATTAGCCAAGTGAGATTGATTGTAGTGATTGCAATTTTCTCATAGCCTTGGCGGTTCATTTAAGTGCCAACGTGGAACATCCTTATATCGCACAAGTGGATCTAAATAGATGTTGTGTACAATATATAAACTAGACAACACACATGACACCCTAAGGAGCTATAATCATATAATCGAATCTAGTCATGAAGTGTTGTCTCCTTACGGTGACATGGTTGAATCGATGCTGAAAGAGTCTTCTATGATGATGCGATTGAATCTAGTCATGAAACATTCCTTTATGATGATATGATCAAATTCGATCATGAAGCATCCCCTTATAGTGATACAGATGAATCTGGGTCTGAAGTGTTCTTCTATGATAACGTAAATAAACACAAAGCCTCCCTTAATAATAACATTGTAGAATTTGATCATGAAACATCTCCTAACAAAAATGTGACTAAATTCGAGCATAAGATGTCACATCTTAACCTAACTGAATCAATGCATGCTAATCTATGCAACATTGTAGTTAAAGTCAACTTTAATACAACTATTAGGCAACCCAAAGCCCATATTCAAGCACACACTTGAATGATATAACCAGAAAACCTACTGAACGAGGCATCATGTCTTGACCCCTTTCATACATCGAAAAATGATTGAGGCTAGACGATAGGGGGACTTTGACACGTAGGCAATTTGATGACGCTTAGACTTATGCAATCGACAAGTTAGTTAAATCCTTGTCCTATAGGAATTGACAACTCAATGGATGATCTATTCCACCAAAATAACAATTGGCAGGCCTCGACGTTAATGCAAGTTGTTATTGCTTGACCGCAGTGTCTGACAATTTGACATGATCTCATGACCCAATGATGGTCATATGACATGCTTAACTTGAGAGAGAGAGAGAGATGGGATTTGACCTCTTTCGTTTGCCGGAGTTCGCTTGTTGGGAGAATAAAGAGCAGACAAGAAGTTGTGGGTTTGAAGACGTTTCCCACTCACGTCTCCGCTGTACGCCAACACGATTCACGAGCAAGTCGGCGACTCGTAAATCAAACTCCACGGCTTATAAAAACCAATGATCTGCTTGTGGTGTTCAAACCACGAACCCAAATTTACAGACGGATGAAGACGACAACGAGAACTATACATTTATTTGATTAGCTTCACCTAACGATTCCTTTAATGTCCTCTGCTGCTATGTCCATTGTTTCTTCTTCTTCTGCTACGCACGCATCGGTTTCTTGCTTTCGAGTCTTTTTCTCTTCCCACAAAGCTGTACTGAAACAGAAGGCTTTTGCATTCACAGATGACATCCCAATTGATTGGATTTTTGTTGTTGGAAGGAATCGAAAGCGAACGCACGTCGATATCGATCTCGGTTTTCTGTTTATGGGAGTATATGTATTCAGGATTTGTCACTACATCTCTATCAGCAGCTTTCAAACAAGAACAAAAGAAGGAACTCAGTGTATCTATCACATCTTCTTTCTCCATCTTTGTCTACAGTTACTATTTATTTGCAATTAATACGATTTAATATTTGCAAACGTTCCCATGGGCTTGATTGCTTCCTAAGAAACTTTCGAATCATATATTTTCGAAGATATAGAGTAGCACAAGGTTTCTCTTGTGCAAATTCTAACGGTGTTTATGTAGGTGATATATCCTTTTGTTGCCACCTACTCCCATTCCATTGAATCACACTCCATGGCATATCGACTAATTAAATTACCTCATGTAATTATTTATTTTTAGCATATCAATTTTTACACTTTTAAAAATTACATTAGGATCCTTATATTTATAAAAGTGAAACATTTAATCTCGTTTCTCCTCACGCCATCAACTATAATGATGAAAATACCAAGGATCCTTATACTTATAAAAACGAAACATTTAATCTCGTTTCTCCTCACATCGTCAACTATGATGATGAAAATACCACACGTGCTCAATAGTAAACTGAAGTGAAACAGAGTCAATATATGCTCAATGGTAAACCATGTGGTATTTCAGTCAACAGAATCGACGACATGAGAAGAAATGAGCTTAAATATTTTATTTTTATAAATATAAGGATCCCAATAAATTTTTTTAAAAAATAAGGATTGAGATGCTAAATGTAGCTAATTACAGGAGTAATATATAATTAGCCCACAACATATACTCATTTAACTTTGCGTAATGAGGTTGGATGTGGAAAGATAAGAACTAAATAAATAAAAAGTCTAATCTTTCGGTAAAAATTTTGATAGATTATAGTATAGTTTTGGACTCAAATCCTGCCTTTACCACTTATCCTTTATAAATAATAAATAATTGATAAATATTTACATTTAGCTTTCTGTATTTGAGCTTAATAGTCATATTTGCTGTATAATTCTATCATTTGAGTAGAGATTTAAAGAGGTTGTTAAAAGAAATCTTTAAAATTTATGTGAAATGATGTACATGAGTTACTCCAATGTTTTAACTTGCCACAAGTAAAACATAAAATATTTGAAAAAAAAATAAAAGATGTGGGTTCATGATCTCGTAAAATTTAGCATATTTGATGAGATAGGAATGTGTATTCTCATAAAGCCTAAAGTTTGCAATTTTATAGTGGCTATGAGTTGAAGGAAACTAAAAAAATTAATCCATGAGATAATTATATATAATCATTAATTATTATTTGAATGTAGAGAGATGCATGAAATTATGGAACATTACAAATATTACCATATGAGTAGACATCAGATTCATGTGCCATAATAGGGTTACCACATGTCACTCAAAAATCATTCACTGCATCAGTGACAGTTAACTATCAAATTACCATATACCCTCGTCGTATCCAATAATAGACCATTCACATGTCAAGCATGATCTAAGAAGTCGTAAAATATAGTTCAGCCACAAGTCTTCAGACAGCAATTCAATATTGTTTGTGTTCTTATTCTTTCCCTATCGTTGCCATGTCTCAAAATGCCAAATTCCTTATCTACAGTGAAGGGAAGTACTTGTTGAGGTTGTAAGGAAGAGCATAGAATTCCTCGCTTCGGGTATCTGTTCTGTAGGACCTGAACTTATCCCACCAATGCCAGCCTCTGTCCCTTCGTATGGAGGCTTCACCACGCAGGAGAGTGCAGTCCAGGAAATAAGCGACTATAGCCGCCACTGTTGCAGGTGAAGAAAATATCACGTTGACCATGTCATTGAACTGCAGGGGGGGAGACATTTGAGAGGCACATCAGCAGTGGTCAATCGACTAGAAAGTTAATCAACGAATTATGTGATTAGCAAACAGTGGTTGTCAAAAGTAAATCTAAAGTCAGATTTCAGATCATCGTTAAAGAAGTGTAGTGCGGTAAAAACTTCTTTTGAGAGAGTGCATGCTGTTCTTGAGGTGCATTATAGCCATGTCTAACTGTAGGTAAAGGCTGAGAAGATCCACTTACAGTTATAGAACGGGTATGGACTGGGCCATACCCAGAAACCACATAATATTCCCTGAAATATTGTGGAATAGACAAGCCCATGAAGAAAGAGAAGCCTAGAATGAACTTTGTCCTGAAGCTGTTGATGTTGCAGAACTGAAGTAATCCAAGACCTGCAGAAACTGCTTGCAAGAGATGTAAGCATCGTATGTTCATTTTTTCTTTTTTTAGACTAGATTTATGACAAATTTCTGCTCCAAGCAATAAACAAATTGGAAGCACAATAAAGCTTATATGTTTATAACCCTTCTGGATACTGAAGAAAGAATTATACTTCCATGTCGATAGGATTAAAAATGAAATCAAGAAAGCCATTTAAATTTCATTGGAAAAGAATGAAAGCGAAGAACATTTGCTTCAAAGAGAAATAAGATGTTTGATGCAAGAATTGCCTACCTGCATAGGCAAAGAGAACGCAGTACAAAGCAGCAAAGATGGACAAAGGTATCGATGCGAGAAGTGCACCAAATTTTCCTGGTTATTGTGAAAGAAAGTATCAGAATATAATACCAAAAAGAAGAAGAAAAAAAAAAAGTCATCTAGTTCAATAAGTTCACATGTAAATCACCTAAAATCGAGAAGAAGAACATAAAACAGGCTGATATCTTAATGACCCTTCGGCTTCCAACTCTTGTCAATCCCAACAAGCCAGCATTTTCACTGTTTAAGCAACCTAAGAGTAAGCCCCTGACGTTTTGAATGCTTATATTGATTTCTACAACAGAAATTAGCTAATTTACACGGAGGCTGCTGAACCATTTGCAGTGCCAAACATCCCATCTAACAGTATACCAATTCCCTGGAATTCAAGGAGATTTACTGAGGAACAACAACCAATACCTTGTCTGAACCAACAAGTTATAGAAACAGAACAGTCCTGACCTGCCAGCCAATGCCCCGACTGAAGACGGAAGGTGGTACAGGCGTCGCACTTGAAAGTCTCGACACAGCAATGAGAGTGCCTGTGGACTGAAAACCCAAAAAATTATTACTAGAAAACCAAATTTGAAACTGAAAAAATAAAAAAGTGTGTAAGTGAGCTTTTTCCTACCTGAAATTATAAGAATATGGCAACACTCGGATGATTCATGAGGACAGGCAAAAGTAGTTGAGACCGAGATAGGAAACTTCAAACATGTATATGCAGCTAATATACTCTGCTTTTGCTTTTGTCATATCTGATAACTATTATATACTCATTGCTTAGGATAGATTAGAATGAACTCTATCATGGGGACATCTTACGAGGCTATACAAATGTTGGCCCTGAACCACAAAACTTGGGGGAATTGTATTCACGAACATATTCGACATTTCCAATGCAGCACATAGAATTTCGCACTCACAAAAGTTCATAGGTTCTTCTGGTCACACTTATCTGACTCTATTGTCATCTACTACTCAACGAGGGGAACTGATCTTCCCTTTGGTCGTTCCTTTCCATGCTCAATAGCCGTAAAACAATTCCAACCTTTCAGTCTTACTAGGGCAACTTATTCTTTAAGTTGCTTTCCATGATCATGACATTTAAGCTATGCCTTGATGCCATCTCATAATTGTCCGATAATAGATATTGGATTGTCATGTTGATGCCCATGTCAATACCAATAAGAAAAGAATCAAGGCAGACTGATATGTGTTTCATTACAAAATTAAATTTCGTATTAAAAATATATTAGATGTTGATTTTGGCCCATAAGTTATTTGGCATTTGCTCTTCCTTAACAAAATAATTCCCCTTAACATTTGAATTGTTTTCTAAGAGAGAAAGCACCCGATCAAACGCATCTATAGTTCACAGAATCTTACTGCATAAAAGCAACGGATCAACTTAGATTCTGCTGTAAAGTACAGTGCCACAGTAGAAATAAAGATCTGAAGATAAAGATTGTTCAACTTGGATATCAAATTACGAAGGCTACATACATAAAGACCTAAAAGTTGGCTACCATAATTGACAAAACTAGTGCTTTAAAACGATATATTTATAAAGCAAATTAATGGTGGAAGCAGAAATTTAGTGAGATGAAATTTAACAACACAAAAGATAATTTTAAAAGCGAATGTATTGAAAAAGTTAAGACAGGCTTTGCAGCAAGCAAACCTCAATATATATCTCTAAGAGAACGAACCTCAATAAGTGAAGCAAAAGAAGCAGCCATCACAGCAAAAATATCACCCGCATGAAAGATGGGACTCCCCCATTGAAATGGATAGGGAACTCTTATCCTGCAAGTAAATACTGCAAGTTTGATTCTCAATCTAGAGATAATTGGGGATTTGAAACTTCAGGCATTGTGTACAGTAGCATACAATGCATGCTACCTTCCAATCCATGCTAGAATTGTCTATCTATAGGATTCATAATTGCATTTTTGTAGCATGTTGCATTCATATGTAGCAATTGTTTTCACATAGGCGTAAAGTAGCACAAATGTCAATATGATAAATATTCACAACATTTATCACGAATGTTCGTGTTCCTCCAAGTCATAGTCATAGTGACAAAGAATCAAATAATCAGATGCCTTACTAGATCAGCCAAATTAATATTGGCAGGTCAGGAAAGATATAAACTACTAGCAGAGAAAGAAGATGTGGTACTACAGTCCATGTAGTTTTTGTGTGTCCTTAACTATCAGTGACAGTTTTCTGTGAAGAAAGAAACCTCACAATAAAAAGCCTTTAATACATGATTTAGTAATGTAACTTGTTTCATGCATCATATGATGATAAAAAAAAGAAAAACCTAAATTTCTGTAAAAAAAAAAAAAGCAAATATAAAAAACATATCAATTGCGTAGAATTTCCGGTCTAGAGTTGCAGTACCAGGGTGAGGCACCTATAAGACCAGAGCGATTTGTTCTGCAACTAATTTGAGTTTGTGGAGGTCTATTCTTGTATGCACCAGCCACAGTGAGAATATACGCATACAGCCAAACAATGGCGACAACAATTAGCAGCGCAAACCTATCAAAGATCACTCTCCTTCCGCTCACTGTATGTGGAACATACTGCAGCAAATTGATGCCAAATGTAATTACATCATGCAAGTAAAATGTAAACAATTATACAAAGTAATGCAAAACCGAGTCAAATGCACAAAGTTATACCAATGCAAAGAGTATGAGCAGAATAATAGCCGGAAGCCCTAGTTCGACGCAATTTGCCACCTACGGTACGGGAACAGAAAGGAAATGGTGAATACTGTAGTCGTCACAAGGAACGCAATACCGCTACTTGACCATGAGGACAAAAAGGATTGGAGGAACACTAAGTGCTCACACTGGGAAATCCGATGTAGAAAAGGCCGAGCGCCGAAAGAGTCACAAAGGGAACCGCAGCAAGGGGGCTCAGAAACCTAATCCAACCCCAGAAAAGATGAAGATTGAGGTCATTTTGCAGTGAAGTCGCAACTCATTGCGTGCAGATCAAACAGATGAAGAGAAAGGACCTTATAAAGATCCGCCAGAGGCCACAGAACCCTACAATTATCTGAAAGCTGGACGCAGCGATGAACGCCCCCTGAATCGCCCTCATCGTGTGCTCAAACCTCTGCAAAACCCACACAAGCAGAGCTTTTCAGACACAAACCCGCAAAAGGAACATAGGGGCTGAAGCTTTTGAGACGATAATCGGAGGGCGAGACGACCTCGTGCGGGTTGATGATGTAGGCGTAGCGCCGGCTGAGGATGATGGAGATGGTCGGGAGAAGATAGGTGTAGGAGCCGCCGATGACCGCCGACAAGCGGGTCCCGAAGTAGACCTGCGTCAGTGTATTGATCGCTGCGACGAACAGAAACGTCTGGATCACCCTCGCCTTCTCCTCCTACGGCGGGTTCCAAGAAACGGGGGAGCGGTCAGCGCCATGGAAACACCATTGCAACACCAAAAAGCAGAGGAGGCGCTCCGAAAGTAGAACTCACATTTCCGCCGCCCATCAGCGGAACCAGAATGGTGGGGATGATGACGGTGGTGCCGAGCATCACCAAGTAGTGCTGGAACGCCAGAAGCAACGCTTCGTCTATCGAAGAGAGAAACAGAACACAATCATCAACAACGAAGTAGAAGAGCAAACGACGCAGAGAGAGGGACTGACGCCATGGAGGGGGGCTGGTGAGGCAGAAGTCGACGCCGGGCAACTGCTCCTTGACGGGGTGGGGGACGAACTCGTCGGCCTTCTCCGGAGGTCCGGGAGACATGGCCAACGCTCCTCCTCTGTAAACGGCAACTCCGGCGGGTGGCAGTATAAATGGGAATGGGGAGAGGCAGCGGACGGGGTGGGAGGGAGGGAGGAGAAGAAGGATTAAGGAAGCGTTATATAGATGGGAGTAATAGTAGTACTTATGAGTTATATTAAATACCGGCAATGGCAGGGGTTAATTGATTCATTATATCTCGTCGTTGGATGTGCGACATTATAACCGTTGGTTTTCTCACCAAATGTGATGAGAGATAGTATTGACGGATGGATGTGACGAGTGTTGGTTGTGGTTTGGAGGGAATTGGCTAACTAACATTTGACTCTCTGTCACCGATGCGCCCCAATTGGCTATATATATATATATATATATATATATATATATAAACTGCTGATGGCTGATGATGATGAAGACTGCGTTAGGTCACACGTGGACTTTGGGATTCGAAACACAGACAAATCAGTCGTTTTTACTGCATCGACGGTTACGATTGTTACGGGTTTGGTTCGACGAGGGTCGTAAGCACGGATAAATCAGCCGTTGGTTCTCAAATTGATGACCACAAGCGGATGAAACATTCTACTGAACCAAACCAAATCGGTTTATAGGACAAGAATGAAATCGAACCAATTGTTCGAATTTTATTATATATTTATTTTTTTATTTGGTGTTTTTAATGTATTACATTGTGTGCAATCATAGTTTAGGATAAGGTTTTAAGTTGGGAACTCTTTTGGAGATCCGTGGAATCTTTATTTGATACTTTTAACATCAGACAATATTTATCAATTCAATAATATATTGATAATCTGGTTTAATATTTTTATTTTTGTTGCGTCGTCGGTCGCTTGTGTTATCCCCATCATCGTATTATCGAGCTCGTACCATCATTATTGTAATCATCGTCAATATTATCACAATCGTAGAGTCAAGTAACCTTCTTCTTAGTTTTTATTATAAAAAATAAATAATAATAATAATATTTAATATCAATGATTAAAGTCTTTACTAATTAAATTAGTCGATATAATTTTCAAATATTACATAAATACTAATGAAAATGAGATGCATATTAATTATTATGATGACACAATTTTTGGTTTGGATGATTCCTGTAGAACCGATATGAATCGAATTGAGGAGTTCAATTAATTATTAGCACTGAGAAAAACACAAAATGAAAGTTAAACAAGAGCTCCTTACCTTAAGATGTGGATGTTGTGGCCACATCTTAAGAACATAAGAGAGCTCTCTCTCTCTCTCTCCGTCCATTTCAAGTGCATGCAAGGAGTCATCTTTAGAACATAGTCTTTGTGTCTGAGTCAGATGGCATTACAATTGTGAGTCCGGCCAAAATACACGTATTAGGTGAGATGAGGTTGAGGAGGAGGAGGATGATGAGTTGATGTTTCTGCTTTCTAGTGGTTGATGCAGTTGAATCTACTAAGATAACCTGCACTGTGACCAACCTGAAAGAGGTCTCGAGAAGTTGGGCAGGTAGTGCAAGAAGTTGGTGATGCCGAGTGAGCTCACTTTTGACTGATTTGTGTGTCGAAGAACACCACATTGGCATGTTTGATTGGTGCACTTTGAAACTTCCCCTCCAATGTTCCGTTTTATGTTTGGACACTGTACAACAGCTACAAATCATGATATCCTTCCTTTTGTTGTGATAGATTCTAATTGTCCGAGAGACTCGGATTCAACCCAAGTCTAACGTCTACAACTATCGAATATCGTAAAAGGATTCGAAAGAGTCTTAGAAGTAAAAATATTTATCGACCCATATAAGCGTTACAACTATTGCACATAGGTTCATATTAGTAAGTGAGAGAGTTTCGATTAATGATGTTCAGATAACTACGCATATAAGGAGACATCAAGTTAATGTTATTATGAGCGTAGATTTTTTATCGACTTGTCGGGCGAACAAGGAATATGAGAAGATGTGATATGGTGTCAAGTTGTCGACATATCAAATCCCTTTATCACATATTATTTATAGTTGAAAATATGTATGTATTTTGTGTTATTATCAAAATCTACATAAAATATTATCTTTAGTGAATTAAAATATTTAATTTTTAACAAAATCTTCTTAGAACTTCCTTCGTCTACTCTCTTCAGCAGAGGTTCATAGTTATCGAATCATAGCCCACAAATCCTTGCTCGAATCGATTTGATTATTGAATAAAAAATGTCAAAAATCGAATTGATACTGTCCGACCGATTTGTTTCTGTGAACATAAATAATGAATTAATTCAATTTCAATTAATTTTAGAATGACCAAAAATAATTAGACTTCTCTTTTTCGTATTAATCAACACCACTAATAGAATAGGCTCTGTTTGCAGCCTTCGCTTCCCTTCTTCATGAGGTGCTGCGGACTCTTATTTCTGTGGACTTTATGAGCTTTACAAGCGATTGAATAGGCTTTGTGATTGATTGTATGTCTACAGTGACTCAACAGACATTATATTCCCAACTCACATTAATGATAGGACATATTTTGGGATCGTCCACGTGGACCCAAGTAAACAGAATACAGACATGGAACCTCAAGTATGATATGACGCACAACTTACACGTGGTGGGTAGTCGCTTGCCGCCCCTTCTGTATGAACGAAATCATCACAGTACAGCCACCCCGGAAAACTCGGGGCGGCATCGTGCAACGCCGATCCATGCAGGTCGGTCGGCGCTCGTACAGAAGCTTAAGTCGATCGCCTGAGAAGTCGGCCGCAGTAAATTGACCCCATACGACCAACTCATTGTCGCAAGTATAAAAGCTAACCCTCCTTAATCAGGAAGGGAGGACATTTCAAACTCTCAACTCTCTCATACATATTATTAACTTGAGCTTCGAAGGGGTCGAGTTGAGAAATCCCTCTCTTGATCTCGACCTGTATATAGGAGCCCGACGACAAAAAAGTAGATCATTCGCCAAGAGAGAAGACTATGCTCGAATGATGAGGCTCAAACCCGACCTGACCCGACGCTCGCCCTCACCACCCGAGCACCCACATGGGTGACCTTGTACATCGGGGACTGGACCGAATCGTACTGACACCTCGGTCACGACGTAAAGATTCACCGACAACTAATAATAATGATGATATATCGTAATACAAACAATTCACTATTGAATCATTTATCTGCACACTTGACGAACTATCAATCGTATATCTGTCATATCAAGAAAACAGGTATTCGTTGATGATCAATTGGATTTTATTTTTTTAATTAAAGATAAATCACTGATAATGCAGTAGAAAATATTCGTGTTCATAAGATGAAAAAATATAAATTAAAAGAATAGTTTCACACTATTAAGGATAGAAAAATCAAGTTAAATGTGTTGTGTTTCAACCGCGAGCTAATAGATCTAAGCATTTGGACTGAATTGACATGTAATTTATGTATGTTAACTATGATCGCTTTCGATCATACTCATTATTATTTGATTTGTAACATGTTTACAAATCTATATGTATAAAATTTAGTATGAATAAATTAAAAATTAAAAAAAAATAGTTTTGAGTTAATGATGATGAGTTGTAATGCTAATGAGTGCACATCGACCCGATCATAAAACTTAATCTAAGAAAAGAGTGAGTACTCGATAATTAATATCAAATTATCATTTGACTAAATAAAGATACATAGTAATGTAATGGATATATAGATACTGAAGTTCACATTATAATATATCAGTTGAATTCATAAGTTTGCATGTTAGAGTCTATAGGAACTTATTATCAATGTATTTTAACACTCGAAAAATAGTCGTTTGTGAATTTGTGATTGTTTGTTTATCTTCTAAGGTCCTTGTCTTCTCTGTCTTTTTTTTTTTCTCTTGCACTATGTTAATTGCTTGTAAAACTATCCTTTTCGTGAGATATCGAGATTTGATCGTCACTCATTTTCGAACTAATCAATTTACTCTTTTACAAATCATTTATGATATGAGCAAAGTTATAACTAAATTGATCTTTGTTGACAGATAACATAATGATGCTTTACGACTTAGACAATTTCAAAGAAGTCCGTGACGTTACGGTATCACAAGTTCACACGACTTAAAACCTGTTTGTTGGAAGGTGAACATGGAATTTCTTTTCTGTGATATATGGGCATTTTTTAATTAGTATGATAACAATTGATAGATTAACACTGTTCTCATGTGTTGCAACATCGACGAACATCATTATTGGAACACCGCAACCGACAACGTAACGTGTAGCCTACCTCAAACCAACATCTTCAGAAGGGTCTTCGGCCGCATGAGTCAACAAAACTGAAGTCAGATCCACCCGAATCACCAATTTGGATGTTAGCAACCGAATCTGCTTCCTTCACTGCTTAAGCTGAGCTCTTAATGTCAAGTGTTGATCTTTCCATCTTACTCCATCCGACAGAACCTTAGATGCAAGAAAATGTCTACAAGGGGCAAGCCAAAAATCGAAGGACTACTGGTCCAAGGAACAAACAGTAATCGTGGACCGGATCAGAGGAAGGATTATTGAATCGAGTTCACGAGATTGCAATCTGCAGTGGGCCTCCGTTGTAAGTACTTCTCTCTGCGTACATCATCCAAACACCAGCATCAAGAAAAGATGAATTCGCCCAAACCCATGCAGGCTTTTACGTAGGAATTAGCGAGATTTGCATGATGATATGAGTTGAAGATGAGATTAGCACTCGCCGACCCATGGCAGGGGCTTCGGACCTTGAGGGAGAGGTCCCATGCTACTACTGCAAGAATGGTGCAGAGGTTTGTTAATCATGTTTCTTTGGGACTTTCTTCCAGCCAATGCTTTCAGCGGTAGTAACACTAATCTACTACTTCCGGAATGCTTCAGCCAATGCTCACGGCAGGGCCTCCTCACATGCCATGGCTCGCAACAGGAGACCCCACAACCCTCTTCTCCAGCCTGGAGTCTGGCTACTGTTCTGCCCTTGGCCATCGAATGGGAGGCATCATGGCCATTCCACAAGGAAGGAACGCAGCTTCTCCTCCACCTTTTAGTTTTATCCCCTCTTCTGTCGTGAGTAGGTTGCCGGCATATTTACGTGAAAGTGACATAAAAGCCTACCTTTTTCTCCTTTTCAGAGACAT